TCTCCATATCCTTCTTACACAAAAATATCTTACTTGTTCAATACTCTTATTATAAACAAGATGTTTAGAAAACTTTTAAAATAAAACAAGCTGAAGCTATGAGTTTGGATCACTAAAATAGTTCAGGACTTTTTTCCCCGATATACTTTCAAAGTGTAATGTTGTATTTTATGATATTTTCTTACACAGGTCGAGGAAACTACCTTATATGGATATTGTTGCGATTGCGCACAGAGGTGCTCACAGCAAACAATTGTCCAATCCAGTGAATGAGCCGAAAAGCATGATGGTCTACTACATGTTTATTTTTACTACAAACACGTGGCTCTGGGGAATTTTAGGACGTGATTTCAAACGACTGCAGGAAAGTCAGCTAACATTTCTTTTGAAATTTGTCATAAAAAATACGAAGATTGGGTACTTATTAAGATTCCCCATGCTCACATTAACAAACAAAGTAAGTTTTCCTTGTTAAATAGAACTTTGAAATACCGCTCACAAAGTCTTCACTAGTAAATAAGACTCAGTTTTTTAGTGCCATGTTACTGGTTAAATTCATAAAGTTGTTGCTCAGTTATTTGTTACAAGAAATTAAAACTTGCATTTCATAAAAAAAAATTTAAGTTGCATTTTTTTATTATTTACCTGTTATATAAACCATCATGCACATTGAAAACATGATTAGAATATACCGGCATTTCGAGGTTGTGTACGTTACAAACATTGACAATACGTGAGCACACCTCAGAGTTGATTGTTTTTGGACCAAGGAATGGACACGTGAAATTGACTTTTCACTGACAGTACAGCTACACAGCACGGGGAAAGCTGTCAACAAACGGACTTGTACAATGGAGTGGAGAAAACCCTTATTTTTATCATTGTAAATCATTTGTATATAAATGTGAGCATGGAATCAGTAGATAATGATGTTCACATTGTATTACGTGTGTAAAATGCTTGGAAAAATGCATCATGTTTTTCCGACAGCGATTTAAAAAAATGGCCTTTTAGAAACACACGTGTAGTATTTTTGTAGTAGACCATAATGCAACTCATTGAGCTGATTGGTCGATTTGCCAGTCACGTTGGTTCCTCACTTAATATGTAAATTTATTCCGACGTCACAGAAAATAGTTTCCTCGACCTGTTACAGTTTTTATACATGTATAATAAATTATAAAAGAAAAACAGGAAAAATGCACAGAGTAAAAAAGCATAAGTAAGATTTGAACCCATGATCATTATTTTACAGTCCAGCAATCATTACACTTCGCCACGAAGTCATTGTATTTAGATGGATAAATTTAGGACAGATTGTTGAATCTTAAGATAATTTTGTGATGAAAATTTTTACGTTTTTAAAAATATATTCAATATGAAGACCACCATTAACCAAAATTATCTAAATGTAATGCAGTACAGTCATATCAAAATAAAATTATTCAGAAGTTGTTTTTCTGGTTAAGGGTGGTCTTCTGCTACAGTTTGTCATTGTTTAGGGGGATACCTCAGTATTTACTAAATTCTCCATATAAACTTAATGATTTTCATACCTAACATATGAGGGAACTATTAATATTTAAATATTATTGTTGTGTGATTTGCTCTTAGAAATGTATAAACTAACATTGTATGACAAATTTTGGTTAAACAATAATGTATTTAAAAAAGCGTAAGTGACTATCAAAAGGACTTTTGCTCTATGTTAAAATGAAGGATGTGTTAATCAAACCAGCCAAAAATTTGAAGGATTAATAAATTTTAGATGAAATAAGATTTTTTATTTATTTTTGTGTGAAATGATTTTAGAATATTAAAGTCGTAATATCATACAGAAAATATTAACTTCAAATCCGTGTCCAGGCACCTTTAAAGTAAACGATTTACGTAAGACACATAAGTTAGTTGAGAAGGATTTTGACACCTATAAAGTATACATGTAACTATTTTTTGTTGCATGCATTTTTGTTGCATGCTCCATATCTGATTAAATAAGGTGTCAAAGTATTTCAATTTATTTTTAGAAATATTTTAAATATTTTATTTATTTTCTTAAAACCCCTCCTATATTTATTTTTAAAAGCACAGTGCTTTAAATTTCTCTTCAAAGATAAATGTTGCAAAATATTGAAATAATAACCAACAAAGTTAGAAATTTTTAAAATCAACACAATTTTTGTTTAAATTTACAAAAATAGACAAAAGAAAAATTAAAATTTCATTCTAATGCAATTGTTTTGTAAAACACTCTTTGATTGACTGATACACTGATGTTTGAAGCAGTAAAACGGGCATTAACGAGTGTGAAAGCTTTTTCATTGTGACGTCATAATAGAGCGACCCAAAGATAAAATGCTCCGTGACGTATTTCATCTAACAAAATTCAACAAAATAAGACATAAACAACAGACAAAATGCATTGATTGCATAAGAATGGGAAAAACTTAACTTCTAATTTTGTATTTGCGACCGTTAATGCTGATTTAACGGTCGCAAACATCCGTTTTACCGGTTCCGCTTACGCGTCGCCGGTAAAACTCAGTTTGCGACCGTTAAATCAGCATTTACGGTCGCAAATACCAAATTAAAAGATATTTATTCCCTTACAATGAAAAAGAAAATGAACTAAATAGAAAAACTGTCAAAAATTTCAAACATCAGAAAAAGTCAGGTGTGAGAGATCCGCTTCAAGAGTGGACTCAAATATCTTGGTACTGTTTTAATTTAGAAACTTCAAATAAACTCTACTTGCACATGTATTAAACAAAAATGTCAAGCAAGGACATTGAAAGAAGTTCGTATTGTACTAGTCCGAAAAATCCGACGTTTTTCTGGCTGTTTACAATTTTGATATTTTACATGCAAGGAAAACGTCAGAACCCTCGCCCTCACAGAAACTGGGAAATCGCCGCCTCCCACCGCAGGCGGCATTCAGAGGTTGATTTTCGATACTTGTAAACCGAATTAAATGCTGAATTAACATTTTATCACTAGTACAACATCTTTAGTACTCACCAACATTGTTTTTATGTTTCTTTTATGAAATAATATAATCCAATGAACACATTTTATCTGACTGTTGAGATTTGTTTTCATTTCATGCATTTTAAAATCGTACAAGTTCTGAATCGGATTGCGGAATGGTAATTTTTATCCATCGATATTGGTGAGTTTTATGAGCATTGTGCCATTGATAAATTGTGATTTCGGCATCTGATTCGGTCCCCAAGTATAGAAAATCAACTTCGGGTGGAGACGGTGAAATTCCCAGTTTTCGTAATGGCACCGGTTCTAACTTTTTCCTGGCATGTAAAATATCAAAATCGTAAAAAAAGCCAGATAAAACATAAGATTATTCGGCATTGTACATGAATTTTTTTTATCAAGTTTCCGGTCAATGACAAAGACGTGTATCTAGTGAATTCATGGTATTGAGAAAGGTAGATTTACCTAAATGTCAAAAAGCGGGTTAAAGAAATTCCTACAACTAAATTCACACTTCGTCTAAAACCTGCATGTTTCCCATACAAACAGCTGATAATCAAAGTTGATCAAACGGTTGGATCATGCAAAATTCCACTAACTGTCGAAACGTTTTGGTGATTTCATGAAGAGTTTAAGGTAAGATACTCCTCTAATTTCTGACTAAATGAAATATCCAAAGTATATTTGCTTATATGTCTTATATATTTAGTTATAAGAAATTTAAAAGACCCTATTTTTTTTTTGGCTTATATGTCTTATATATCTAGTTATAAGAAATGTAAAAGACCCTATTTTTTTTCCTCGTCACAATTGTACTACTTTAAATAGAAATGGTAAACTGCGTTGTAAATTAGGGACTATATTCTTGGCGGAATGGTGGCGTATGAAAATATCTTCTTTTCTGCCTCTCGAAATTATTATACAACATTGAATTTGGTTAAATTTTTTACGCAATCAAAGACTAGATTACATTTTCAAATGTAAGTTAAACTAATAATAGAAAATTTAAGTTTCAAACTATATCAAATAAATAAGATTTTTCACACATACTAGAATTATGTTGGCTTTAGGGCTGGGCAATAATATCGATAATTCAATATATTGCAATACAATGACAAAAAATATCGTATCGCAATACGATTTTGTAATATCGATATATTGGCAATATGCTTAGATTAAGGAATTTTGTCATTAAATATAAAAATGGACTTGTGAATGTTAGTTATTAAGCCAAACATTAAGACAGAAGTTGTTTTGTGGGAGCATTTCAGAGCATAACTTAAAGAAATCAACAAGATTTTTTTTCCTTGTAGGTTATTTATCTTGGTTATGTACATTCTGCGTGTAAATGAAAGTAAATATAGTGAAAAAATGCCATTTTTATTACGTTGAAAATATTGCAATACATATCGCAATACAGTTCAAAATATCGCAATATATCGCAATACAAAATCTCCGGCCAATACCCAGCCCTAGTTGGCTTTTAAATGCTTCAAATCAAAGTACAGATTTGAGCCAAAAATCCATAAAAAGTGTTATTTCTCTCTTAGTAATCGATGAAATCTTTTAGTTTTTGTATCATTTTGTACCTTTATGTGACAACTGTACTATATGTAAAAATGAGAAAGTTAGATATAGGAAGCATATAAAATAACTAATATATCCTTAAAACTTCACAAAAGTAGAGGGAATTCAGATTAGCAAATATCAATTTTATTTGAATTATCTATGTCAATTTGATAATATCATTTTATATGCCCTTAATGGTTATATATTTTTATGCAAAAAGAAAAACATTCAATCTTTTGAAATACAAGTATCACAATACTAAGGTTTCTCGCCTGTAATCAGTATATGTCTGTATGTAGATCTTAAATTTTTGTCATCGGTTGAATGCCTTTCAACACATAAACCATCTAACAGGTTTATTATGTGCTTATCACGTGTGTATCTTCAGGTGTCCATCAAGATCTGACTTTTTACAATATGTTCTTGGACAGAAATAACATTTACAAGGTTTCTGTCCAGTATGTATCATCATGTGTATTTGTAAGGTATCTCTCCGGGTGAATAACTTTCCACAAACATCACATTTATAAGATCTATCACCTGTATGTGTCCTCATGTGTTTCTGTAAGTGATGTGTCTGCCTAAATTCTTTGCCACACACATCACGTTTATAAGGTTTGTCTCCAGTATGTGTCCTGTATGTGTCCTTATGTGTGTCTGTGAGCGTATTGTCTGGCTGAATTTTCTCGCACACACATCACATTTATAGAGTTTATCACATGTGTCCTCATATGCGTCTGTAAGTTTCCTGAATTGTTGAATGCCTTCCCACACACATCTCATTGAAAAGATTTATCACCAGAATGTCCATCACATTGATAAGGTTTATCACCCATATGTGTTCTCATGTGTGTCTGTAACTGATTTGTCTGGCTGAATGCTTTCTCACACACATTACATTTATAAGGTTTATCACCTGTATGTATTCTCATGTGTGTCTGTAAGTGATTTGTCAGGCTGAATGCTTTCTCACACACATTACATTTATAAGGTTTATCACCTGTATGTATTCTCATGTGTGTCTGTAATTGATTTGTCTGGCTGAATTCTTTCCCACACGCATCACATTTATAAGGTTTTTCACCTGTATGTATCCTTCTGTGTTTGTGTAAGTTCTGCGATTGGGTAAATGCCTTCCCACACACATCACATTGATAAGATTTATCACCTGTGTGTAGCTTCATGGGGCAGTTTAAGTTACTTAAATTGTTGAAAGCCTTTCCACAAACATCACATTTATAAGGTTTATCACCTGTATGTATCCTCATGTGTGTCTGTAAGGCATTTAATCTGTTGAATGCATTCCCACACACATCGCATTTATAAGGTTTATCACCTGTATGTATCCTCATGTGTTGCTTTAAGTGTTGTGACTGGCTGAATGCTTTCCCACACACATCACATTTATAAGGTTTATCACCTGTATGTATCCTCATGTGTCCCTGTAAGTGTATTGACTGTCTGAATGCTTTCCCACACAAATCACATTTATATGGTTTTTCTCCAGTATGTATTCTTTTATGTTTCATTAAGTTACGAGACAGCCTGAAGTTCTTTAAACAGAAATCACATTGAAAAGCTTCATCAGTTGTATGGTTTCGTATGTGTTTCTGTAAGGTATTCAAGTCTTTGAACACTTTGGTGCATAACCCACAATTAAAAGGTGTTATACTTGCATGTCCAATCACAGCCTGACTTTGAATCTTTGAATTAGATGACCAGACTTCTTTTTCCATCTGTAAATTTAGCAAAAATTGTTTTAAATAGTGTGTCAAGCTAAGTTTTTTGATGATTATATGTAGAGAAAACAGAAATTAGACATCAATAAATTCCATTGCAAACAAAATTTTACTTTTCTTTTTTTATTTTTTTTTTTTTTACATGTATTTCCTTTCTCTTTTTCCACTATACAGATGAATAATAACAAGAGGCCCAGGGGCCACATCGCTCACCTGAGCAATTGGCTAGGAAAGAGCACATATCAGATCAGAACTGAAAGTTTACTTGGGGGGCTTGAATTTTAACACCCAGGGGGTCATGATTTGAACAAAAAAGGATCTACACTACCTGAGAATGATTTCTTAAAAATATCACTAAGCATGGCTTTGAAGTACTTGAAAAGAAGATATTAAAAGGTTTCCCCATATATTCCTATGTAAAACTTTTATCGGCCATTTGGCCCCACCCTACCCCCGGGGGTCATGATTTGAACAAACTTGAATCTACACTACCTGGGGATGATTCCATATGAGTTTCATCTTTCCTGTCTCAATGGATCTTGAGAAGAAGATTTTTTCTATATATTCCTATGTAAAACCTAGATCGGCCATTTTGGCCCCACCCTACCCCCAGGGGTCATAATTGAAATAAACTTGAATCTACACTACCTGAGGATGATGCAACATGAGTTTCATCTTTGCTGGCGCAGTGGTTCTTCAGAAGAAGATTTTTAAAGATTTTTCCTATATATTCCTATGTTAAACTTTGATCGGCCATTTTGACCCACCCTACACCCAGGGGTCATGATTTGAACAAACTTGAATCTCCACGATCTGAGGATGATGCCACATGAGTTTTATCTTTCCTGGCCCAGTGGTTCTTGAGAAGAAGATTTACAAAGATTTTTCCTATAAATTCCTATGTAAAACTTTGATCGGCCATGTTGGCCCCACCCTACCCCCTGGGGTCATGGTTTGAACAAATTTGAATCTACACTACATGAGGATGATTCCACATGAGTTTCATCTTTCCTGGCCCAGTGGTTCCTGAGAAGAAGATTTTTAAAGATTTTTCCTATATATTCCTATGTAAAATTTGGGTCAGCCAAAGTGTTATTTCTCTCTTAGTAATCGATCAAAACTTTTAGTTTTTGTATCATTTTGTATCTTTATGTGACAACTGTACTATATGTAAAAATGAGAAAGTTAGATATAGGAAGCATATAAAATAACTAATATATCCTTAAAACTTAAGAAAAGTAAAGGGAATTCAGATTAGCAAATATCAATTTTATTTGAATTATCTTTGTCAATTTGATAATATCATTTTATATGCCCTTTATGGTTATATATTTTTATGCAAAAAGAAAAACATTCAATCTTTTGAAATACAAGTATCACCATACTAAGATTTCTCGCCTGTAATCAGTATATGTCTGTATGTAGATCTTAAATTTTTGTCATCGGTTGAATGCCTTTCGACACATCACCCATCTAACAGGTTTATTATGTGTTTATCACGTGTGTATCTTCAGGTGTCCATCTAGATCTGACTTTTTACAATATGCTCTTGGACAGAAATAACATTTATAAGGTTTCTCTCCAGTATGTATCATCATGTGTATTTGTAAGGTATCTCTCCGGGTGAATAACTTTCCACAAACATCACATTTATAAGATCTATCACCTGTATGTGTCCTCATGTGTTTCTGTAAGTGTTGTGTCTGCCTGAATTCTTTCCCACACACATCACATTTATAAGGTTTGTCTCCAGTATGTGTCCTCATGTGTCTTTTTATATCGTTGGCATATTTGAAAAATCTCTCACATACATCACATTTGTAAGGTTCATCACCTGTATGTATTCTCATGTGTCCCAGAAAGTTATCTTTCCAGGTGAATAACTTCCCACAAACATCACATTTATAAGATTTATCACCAGTATGTGTGCTCATGTGTTTCTGTAAGTTCTGTAATTGGATGAATACCTTGCTACACACATCACATTTATAAGGATAATCACCTGTATGTGTCCTCATGTGTGTCTGTAAGTGTATTGTCTGGCTGAATGTTCTCTCACAAACATCACACTTATAAGGTTTTTCACCTGTATGTGTCCTCATGTGTGTCTTTAAGTGTTGTGTCTGCCTGAATTCTTTTCCACACGCATCACATTTATAAGGTTTATCACCTGTATGTATCCTTCTGTGTTTGTGTAAGTTCTGTGATTGGTTAAATGCCTTTCCACACACATCACATTGATAAGATTTATCACCTGTATGTAGCTTCATATGGCAGTTAAAGTTACTTAAATTGTTGAATGCCTTTCCACAAACTTCACATTTATAAGGTTTATCACCTGTATGTATCCTCATGTGTCCCTGTAAGTGTTGTGACTGGGTGAATGCTTTCCCACACACATCACATTTATATGGTTTTTCTCCAGTATGTATTCTTTTATGTTTAATTAAGTTACGAGACAGCCTGAAGTTCTTTAAACAGAAATCACATTGAAAAGCTTCATCAGTTGTATGGTTTCGTATGTGTTTCTGTAAGGCATTCAAGTCTTTGAAGACTTTGGTGCATAACCCACAATTAAAAGGTGTTATACTTGCATGTCCAATCACAGCCTGACTTTGAATCTTTGAATTAGATGACCAGACTTCTTTTTCCATCTGTAAATTTCGCAAAAATTGTTTTAAGTAGTGTGTCAAGCTAAGTTTTTTGATGATCATATGTAGAGAAAACAGAAATTAGACATAAATGAATTCCATTGCAAACAAAATTTTACTTTTCTTCTTTTTTTTTTTTTACATGTATTTCCTTTCTCTTTTTCCACTATACAGATGAACAAGAGGCTAACGGGCCTTATAGGTCACCTGAGCATTCTGCAACAACTTTCCAGTTATTGAATTTGATTCATGTTTTAAGCCAGATGCTATATGGCATTCACAATTTTGAAAGAGGCACCATTGATCATCATAACAATACACTTAGCAGTTGCTTAGCTTGGTTTATTGATTTAAATATGCCCAATAATAAGTTCATAGGATCTTCATGAACGTTTCATGAACATTTCATGAATAAAATTCATGAAAAATTCAAGGTAATTCATGAATTATTCATGATCACCTCGCAGGGGTACTGAATACCCATACGCAAGGTAGGGGAAAAAAATGCATTCCAACTAATCAGTAATATTCAGCAATAATCAGTAATGCCCCTAACACTGTGAAATAAACCCCTGACCCTAGGTCCACACATTGCACAAATCTTAAAAAGGCACCGTTAAAATTGCCTATCAAAAAATAAATAAATGTTTTATAAATACAAAGGAGCAGATTTCAAACAATTAATTCATTTTCAGTATATAAGTAGAGCCCCACATCCACCCCTGACCCTGGGGCCTTGAAATTCAAAATTTTGCAAGATTAGGGCCCTTGCTCATCATAACTATTTAGGTAGTTCATCTGCTTCATACCAAGAGACAGAGAAGAAAATTTTCAAAGATTTAATGTATATTCACTATATAATCAATAGACCCCCCCCCCACCCCCACACACCATAACCCCTGACCCTGGGACCATAAAATTCACATTTTGGTAGAGGCACTCTTGCTCATCATAACTATGTACTTAGTTAGTTTATTTAATACCTAGGAGCAGAGAAGAAGATTTCAAAGAATTTATGTATTTTCACTATAAATCAATAGAGCCCCACCCTAACACCAGAACCCCTGACCCTGGGACCATAAAATTCACAATTTTGGTAAAAGCACTCTTGCTCATCTTAACTATGCACTTCGTTAGTTTATTTAATACCTAGGAGCAGAGAAGAAGATTTTCAAAGAATTCATGTATTTTTACAATATAATCTATAGAGCCCCCCCCCCCCCCCCCCCAACACCAGAAGCCTTGACCCAGGGACCATAAAATTATTCACAATTTTGGTAGAGGCACTCTTGCTCATCATAACTATGCACTTAGTTAGTTTATTTAATACCTAGGAGCATAGAAGGAGATTTTCAAAGAATTTGTGTATTTTCACTATATAATCAATAGAGCCCCCCCCCCCCCTAACACCAGAACTCTTGGCCCTGGGGCCATAAAATTCACAATTTTGGTAGAGGCACTCATGCTCATCATAACTATGCACTTAGTTAGTTTATTTAATACCTAGGAGCATAGAAGGAGATTTTCAAAGAATTTGTGTATTTTCACTATATAATCAATAGAGCCCCCCCCCCCTAACACCAGAACTCTTGGCCCTGGGGCCATAAAATTCACAATTTTGGTAGAGGCACTCATGCTCATCATAACTATGCACTTAGTTAATTTATTTATATCTAGGAGCAGAGAAGAAGATTTTCAAAGAATTCATGTATTTTTACTATATAATCTATAGAGCCCCCCCCCACCAGAACCCTTGACCCTGGGGCCATAAAATTCACAATTTTGATAGAGGCACTCATGCTCATCATAACTATGCACTTAGTTAATTTATTTAATATCTAGGAGCAGAGAAGAAGATTTTCAAAGAATTCATGTATTTTTACTATATAATCTATAAAGCCCCCCCTACCAAAACCCCTGACCCTGGGGCCATAAAATTCACAATTTTGATAAAGGCACTCATGCTCATCATAACTATGCACTTAGTTAGTTTATTTAATACCCAGGGGCAGAGAAGAAGATTTTCAAAGAAATCATGTATTTTCAATGTATATAATCAAGAGAGCCCCGCCCTAACACCAGAACCCCTGACCCTGGGACCATAAAATTCACAATTTTGGTAGAAGCACTCTTGCTCATCATAACTAACTACTTAGTTGGTTTATTTAATACCCAGGAGCAGAGAAGAAGATTTTCAAAGAAATAATGCATTTTCACTACCTACTTATTTAGTCCTGCCCTAGCACTTAAGAACCCCTGACCCCAGGGCCATGAATTTCACAATTTTGGTAGAGGACTCAATGCTGATTACAATCATGCAAACAGTTTGACTGCTTGATGTCCAGGAGTAAAGAAGAAGATTTTCAAAGATTGCATTAATTTTAGTGGTTTTGGCCCCACCCCTCAGGCCCCAGGGGGGCAGGGATCATGAAATTCACAACTTTTGTTCCCTTTCACCCATAGATGCTTTGTGCCAAATTTGGTTGAAATTGGTTCAGTGGTTGCAGAGAAGAAGCTGAAAATGTTCAAAAGTTTACGAACGACGTACGACGTACGACGAACGAAAACAGATAGCAATAGGTCACCTGAGTTTACTCAGATGACCTAATAATAACAAGAGGCCCAGGGGCCACATCGCTCACCTGAGCAATTGGCTAGGAAAGAGCACATATCAGATCAGAACTGAAAGTTTACTTGGGGGGGGGGCTTGAATTTTAACACCCAGGGGGTCATGATTTGAACAAAATAGGATCTACACTACCTGAGAATGATTTCTTAAAAATATCACTAAGCATGGCTTTGAAGTACTTGAAAAGAAGATATTAAAAGGTTTCCCCATATATTCCTATGTAAAACTTTTATCGGCCATTTGGCCCCACCCTACCCCCGGGGGTCATGATTTGAACAAACTTGAATCTACACTACCTGGGGATGATTCCATATGAGTTTCATCTTTCCTGTCTCAATGGATCTTGAGAAGAAGATTTTTTCTATATATTCCTATGTAAAACCTAGATCGGCCATTTTGGCCCCACCCTATCCCCAGGGGTCATGATTTAAATAAACTTGAATCTACACTACCTGAGGATGATGCAACATGAGTTTCATCTTTGCTGGCCCAGTGGTTCTTCAGAAGAAGATTTTTAAAGATTTTTCCTATATATTCCTATGTTAAACTTTGATCGGCCATTTTGACCCCACCCTACACCCAGGGGTCATGATTTGAACAAACTTGAATCTACACTATCTGAGGATGATGCCACATGAGTTTCATCTTTCCTGGCCCAGTGGTTCTTGAGAAGAAGATTTAAAAAGATTTTTCCTATAAATTCCTATGTAAAACTTTGATCGGCCATTTTGGCCCCACCCTACCCCCTGGGGTCATGATTTGAACAAATTTGAATCTACACTACCTGAGGATGATTCCACATGAGTTTCATCTTTCCTGGCCCAGTGGTTCTTGAGAAGAAGATTTTTAAAGATTTTTCCTATATATTCCTATGTAAAACTTGGGTCAGCCAAAGTGTTATTTCTCTCTTAGTAATTTGATCAAAACTTTTAGTTTTTGTATCATTTTGTACCTTTATGTGACAACTGTACTATATGTAAAAATGAGAAAGTTAGATATAGGAAGCATATAAAATAACGAATATATCCTTAAAACTTCACAAAAGTAGAGGGAATTCAGATTAGCAAATATCAATTTTATTTGAATTATCTATGTCAATTTGATAATATCATTTTATATGCCCTTTATGGTTATATATTTTTATGCAAAAAGAAAAACATGCAATCTTTTGAAATACAAGTATCACAATACTAAGGTTTCTCGCCTGTAATCAGTATATGTCTGTATGTAGATCTTAAATTTTTGTCATCGGTTGAATGCCTTTCGACACATAACCCATCTAACAGGTTTATTATGTGTTTATCACGTGTGTATCTTCAGGTGTCCATCTAGATCTGACTTTTTACAATATGCTCTTGGACAGAAATAACATTTATAAGGTTTCTCTCCAGTATGTATCATCATGTGTATTTGTAAGGTATCTCTCCGGGTGAATAACTTTCCACAAACATCACATTTATAAGATTTATCACCTGTATGTGTCCTCATGTGTTTCTGTAAGTGTTTTGTCTGCCTGAATTCTTTCCCACACACATCACATTTATAAGGTTTGTCTCCAGTATGTGTCCTCATGTGTCTTTTTATATCGTTGGCATATTTGAAAAATCTCTCACATACAGTGCAGGGAAATAATTTTGTTACAGCATCAATGCTGATTTTGGTGCTTCCTATGCTTGCTGATTTTGATGCTTCCTTTGCTTGCTGATTTTGATGCTAGTTATCCTTATCCTGATCCTGGTTTGATCCTTATCCTGATGCTGGTTTGAAACTAGGTCAATGCTAGTAATGCTACCAGAAGTAGGATTATTCTGCCGGAAGTGGATAATTCAAAAACAGCATCGCTATTTTAAGCCATTAAAAATAATTTTTGGGGTAATTTTTATTTGTAAGTTGTATTAAATGACTTTCCTTTATCTGTTTTCACTTTGGTCAATGCTAGTTCTATCCTTTGCTTGCTGATGCTGATCCAAGTAATGCTGTTTTTTAAAATGCTGATGCTGATGCTAGTTCTATCCTGATCCTACTTATGCTGATCCTGATGCTGGTTTATGTAACCAAATTAGTTCCCTGCACTGTACATCACATTTGTAAGGTTCATCACCTGTATGTATTCTCATGTGTCCCAGTAAGTTATCTTTCCAGGTGAATAACTTCCCACAAACATCACATTTATAAGATTTATCACCAGTATGTGTGCTCATGTGTTTCTGTAAGTTCTGTAATTGGATGAATACCTTGCTACACACATCACATTTATAAGGATAATCACCTGTATGTGTCCTCATGTGTGTCTGTAAGTGAATTGTCTGGCTGAATGTTCTCTCACAAACAGCACACTTATAAGGTTTTTCACCTGTATGTGTCCTCATGTGTGTCTTTAAGTGTTGTGTCTGCCTGAATTCTTTACCACATGCATCACATTTATAAGGTTTATCACCTGTATGTATCCTTCTGTGTTTGTGTAAGTTCTGTGATTGGTTAAATGCCTTTCCACACACATCACATTGATAAGATTTATCACCTGTGTGTAGCTTCATGTGGCAATTAAAGTTACTTAAATTGTTGAAAGCCTTCTCACACACATCACATTTATAAGGTTTATCACCTGTATGTATCCTCATGTGTCCCTGTAAGTGTTGTGACTGGCTGAATGCTTTCCCACACACATCACATTTATATGGTTTTTCTCCAGTATGTATTCTTTTATGTTTCATTAAGTTACGAGACAGGCTGAAGTTCTTTAAACAGAAATCACATTGAAAAGCTTTATCAGTTGTATGCTTTCGTATGTGTTTCTGTAAGGTATTCAAGTCTTTGAACACTTTGGTGCATAACCCACAATTAAAAGGTGTTATACTTGCATGTCCAATCACAGCCTGACTTTGAATCTTAGAATTAGATGACCAGACTTCTTTTTCCATCTGTAAATTTAGCAAAAATTGTTTTAAGTAGTGTGTCAAGCTACGTTTTTTGATGATTATATGTACAGAAATCAGAAATTAGACATATATGAATTCCATTGTAAACAAAATTTTACTTTTCTTTCTTTTTTTTTTTACATGTATTTCCTTTTCTTTTTCCACTATACAGGTGAATAATAAAAAGTGTTTAAAATCATTTTGGGTAAAGACCGATGTGTCTTATTTTCTATACTTTAAAGCAATGAAGTAAAAATTTATTCTAAATATATTGCTTAAAAACAACTCCTTAGTTTTGAAAATAATGTTAAAGAATTGCATCATGTTTCCTTTTAAAATTACACAGAAATTTCTGAAAACACTCACAACTGTAGCCATACAATATTAGTTAAAATAATATTACTTCTTTATCTAAACTCCTTATAGATTACAGTTGCGGATTCAGGAATTTAATAACAGGGGAGGGGGTGGTACAGAGGGCAGGGTGTCTGGAGCTGCGTTGAAGCCCCATGGGGGTTTGGAGCACATTTCTGGTAAGGCCCGGGGAACGAACGTCTGCTATCAGAATTCCGCACTAAATGGTTAACTCCAGAAATAAATAATGCTAGGAATTTTCGAGATCAATTTCATAAACAGGGAGACATGGATAATTTTAGACTTTGGAGGAACAAAGTCACATCTTTAATAAATAATGCAAAATCTACGTATTATAAGGAAGTAATTGAAAATAGTTCTACTTCAAAGGAAATGTGGGGCCACTTAAATCAGTTAGCCTCAAAATCAGACAAAAACTCATCTCCTTCCAATATAACATATAGCGGTCTAGATCTTGATAATCTACAAGATATTGCAAATGCATTTAATGAGCATTTTGCCCAAATTCCAAAAAAATTAATAGATAATCTTTCGTTTACTGCTTTCAAATCAGAAAAATTGAAAAGATACACGGAGACAAAACTTGGAGATCAAGACTTTTTTGAAATCCCTTTGATTAATGAAGAAAAGGTATTCGAAATGTTAAAAAGACTTGATGTAAACAAATCTGCTGGTATAGACTTTCTTGGACCTAGATTGCTTAAACTGTCAGCTAGTATAATATCCAAACCTCTAACACACTTGATAAATTCTAGCATAATCAATGGATCTTTTCCTTCACAATTAAAGGTCGCAAAAGTAACCCCCTTGTTTAAAAAGGGCGATAAATCAGACCCAGGAAACTATCGTCCAATCTCGATTTTACCAACGATATCGAAAGTTTTAGAGAAGCATGTAGCAGAAAATATACGCATCTTTACTTCTCACTTTGACTTGCTAATGAAAGCACAATCTGGATTTCGAGAACTTCACTCATGCCAGACAGCTCTCACAAAACTAACTGATGATTGGTTGCATGCAATAGATAAAGGAAATTTTGTAGGTATTACATATCTGGATTTTAGCAAAGCATTTGATCTTGTTAATCATGATATACTAATTAAAAAACTTGAATGCTATCACTTTGATCCAATATCAATTAAATGGTTTAAATCATACTTATATAATCGAAGTCAAAGTGTTAAAATTGGTGCGTACACATCTGAATCACTGCCAGTCACAGCAGGTGTGCCTCAGGGCTCTATTTTAGGTCCTTTGTTGTTTCTATTGTATATTAACGATTTACCATTGTCTGTTGAACATTGTAATATTGATATGTTTGCTGATGACACTACAATGCATCTTCATGATAATAGTATTTCGCGTATTGAAACCACTCTTAATCATGAACTCTGTCAAATACAAAAATGGTGTCAACAAAATCAGATGATTATAAATACTGATAAAACAAAGTGTATGTTAATGGGAACACACCAAAAGAAATCTAAATTAGAAAACGTTAATTTTCATTTACAACTTTCCGATCATCCCCTTGAAAATGTAGAAATGCAAAAATTATTAGGTGTTCACATTGATCATAATCTTCAATATACTTGTCATGTAGATGCAGTTTGCAAAACTCTTACATATAAATTATTTACTTTACGAAAAATCAAAAAGTTTCTTCCAATGCGTACTAGAAAACTATTTTATAATGCTTTTATCCTGCCATCGATTTTATATTGTTTATCCATTTGGGGCAATTGTCCTCAAACACACATGGACAGAATCTACAGATTACAAAAAAAAGCAGCTAGGATTATTTTAAATGAAAAATATGATACACCTTCAATGCCTTTATTTAACACTTTAGGTTGGCTAACAGTTTATGAACTTTTATATTTACAGAAAAGCATTTTAATGTACAAAATATTTCATGGAATGTCTCCTGATTATATGCATAATCTTTTTGAATTTCAAAGTTCTGGATCATACACTTTACGATCAGAAACAAATTCCGAACTTTGACTACCAAAATATAAAACAAACTTATTTAAAAATTCTTTACAATATTCAGGGGTTATTATCTGGAATGAGTTACCAATTAATATAAGAAATTCTCAATCCCCTGCAATATTTAAAAGAAGTGTTGAAAATTTTCTACTTATAAAACGCAATGATTCTGTGTGATTTTTTTTTCTTTTTCTCTATACCGAAATGCTGATGTTTTTATTTGTTTGTAACATACTGATTGATTATTTATTGTCTCATAATTGTAATTTTATTTATTGTATATATGTATATGTGTTTTTAAAGAAGGCCCTGAGGAAGACTAGTGTTCGCACTAATCGGGTTACCTTCTCTAAATAAAGTATTATTATTATTATTATTATTATTATTATAATAATATGCACCTCCCCCCCCCCCCCCCCCCCCCCCCCCCCCCCCCCCCCACCCTTGATTGAGAAAACCAATCGTCACCTTGCAGGAATTTTAGAATACATTGCCATGGCGGTAAATCAATATTTTTCGGAATGCCTCATACCATACGTGTAGATCTACTGCTAAGTTTGTGTTTAATGCTAGTAATAAAAATATAATTACATGCTTGTTTAACAAAATACAAGCAAATTTTAACAATCAAACCGTGGATTGGGGGGGGGGGGGGGGGGGGCTCGACGCAACGGCCCTGGATCCGCTTTTGAATTGCATGTTTAATTTAAACCTGTCTTGAAAGCACTGATGTTAACATACAGCATGATAAATATAATTTAAATCATACTTTAGAAAAGCTGCATGATTATTTTCATTAAAACATGAAAAAATCTTTTCTTGAACATAAAGTCAACATCACATCAAATACGAAGGAGGCACTCGTTTTGATAAGAGGTACGTGTATAAATCAATTGACTGTTTTTCATTGCATGTAGTGATTGAAAATTTATCATATTGTTATTTTATTATGGAAGACTGAAGAATTTTGTTATTCAACATATGTCACATGGTGACGTCATGTTTTTTAATCTATTGCGTCATTGATTTCCATGCAATGTCCCTTGATAAATTTTACGAAGAAAAGATTATGTGGTTTTCATAACATTCAGATACAGATTTAAACAATAAGTTTCCGTAAAAGTACAGATTATATAATAACACAATCAGATTCAGACTTCAACATTTGATTTCTTTAAAAGTATAGATTTTAATGAGGAGGAAAAGTAACATCTATCCAAAAACTAAGTATTTTCAACTACAGTTTTTCTTAAAAACGGACGTGGCCGCACTTTTGTACAGTTATTTTTTCTCTTGCATATTAGTTGCCAAGGTACACTTGTTCTTTCTGCAAAGTTTCGCATATGTACTCGGATGCCGCCACATCGAAATGTAAAGTTGAAGAGTAGCAAAACGTCCAAAATAGGTGATTTCCAAAATATATGACCAGTGTTGAGTGTTACACAAAAGGTCACGTGAGTTGAAGAAAATTGATACCAATTTTTCACAAAGGGGAACCTTAACAATAAATTGACACAGTTTAATAAAGGTTATCGTGCGTTTAATGTTTGCCGATTTTATAGGGCCGCCTTGTAATACATAATGTACCCAGTTCTTGAGGACATTGGCAGGGTTCCTGGCTTTAGTATAGAATTTTTGAAGAATTCTTGAGCAGGTGTAATGGTATGAAACGTTTTATATTCTGATATATGTAACCCAACAAGCCACCCTCCCTTTTAAGATTTTGTCAAATCAATGTTTTTACAGTTCTCAATGCATTTCCTATGTAAAATGTTCATAAAATGTACCTTCATAATTTTTTACCATAATTTTTTTCCAAAACCCATTTATTTTAGAATGTTTATGTAATATATACATTATTGTATCCTCATTTTGAATGATATTTAGATACCATGACTGAAAATGTAAATTTAGAAACAAGACACAGATCTGCCAACACTGTTCTTTATTTTAGAGTTACTTCCCTTAACATCTAATTTGTATGAATTCTTTAACTGCTCAACTATTTCCGTTAATTA